GTGAGTGTGAGTGGAAGAGTTGGATGAAATTGAGTGTTTTTCTCTTTCTATTTCTTTCTTTCGGTATATTTTCGTTGTGTTGTGTTTGTGAATGTAGTTGTGTTAGTTTAGTGTTGTTTTGGTTGGTGTTTGGTTGTTTGTTGGTTAGTTTAGTGTTTGTTTGTTGTTTGTCAGCCTCGCTCTGAGGCGCCGGTATGGCGTCCAGCAGCGTTTTCTCCAGGCTGACACGGAAGCACGGTATTAAAACCGGAGCCGGCTCTCCGTGCAGGGTGGAGGAGGTAGCACAGGCCGTGGGGATATCATCGGGCACGGCTCTGTGAAGTCCGCTGCCCGGATGAACAGTGCGGTGGTTCTGTTCCTGGAGAAGGTGGAACAGGTGAACAGGTTGGTGGAGACGGGCATTACGGTGAATGGGATGTTTGAGCCGGTGATACCGCTGATACAGCCGGCTACAAGGGTCACTCTGTCAAATGTTCCCCGTTCATTAGTGATGATTTCCTGATTAAAGAGCTGTCCAGACATGGAAAGGTGGTGTCACCCATAAGAAAAGTGCTGTCGGGCTGTAAGTCTCCCCTCCTGAGACATGTAGTGTCTCACCGCAGACAGCTCTTCATGTTGCTCAACAACAAAAAATGAAGAATTTGATTATCGGTTCAGAGTCCGTGTGGATGATTTTGAGTACATTCTCTTTGCAACATCATCCACTGTGAAATGTTTCGGATGTGGCGAAGAGGGACATTTGATTAAGGCCTGTCCGAGCCGCGGTGCGGCGGCTGCCGCGGGCGCGGCGGCGGCGGCTGCCGCGCCCGCGCCGCCTGCTCCTGCGGGGATTCGGGCGGTACCCGCCGCTGCCGCGGCCGACCGCCGCCCGTTCCGGCGGTGCGGCGGTCGGCCGCGGTGGCCGGTGGGGGGCCGGTGCCGCAGGGCAAGAAAAAGAAGCAGGAGCTGCAGAGAAACAGGTGGAAGAGATGCAGAGCCAGGCTGGAGGGAGCACTGAGGTGAGTAGTGAGAGGGAGGAGGTGGGAGGGGAAACGGGTGAGGTGACAGGTAAGGTGGGGGTGACAGGTGGTATTTTAGATAAAGATGCAGGTGAATTGGTCGAGGATGTGGGTGAAACAGGTGTCGGTGGAGAGGCAGGTGAGGTTCCTGGTGAAGTGGGTGAGGCAGGTAAAGTAACAGGTGAACTAGAAGAGGTAGGTGAACCAGGTGAGGTGAAAGAGGCAGGTGAGGTTGTAGGTGAGTTGGGTGAGGCAGGTGAGGTTGAGGTTGTAGGTGAGTTGGGTGAGGCAGGTAAAAGAACAGGTGAGTTGTGTGAAGGATTTGAGGTTGTTGGTAAACAGTGTGAAGCAGGTAAGGCGAGAGAGGCAGGTGAGGCTGTAGGTGAGTCGTGTGAGACAGGTAAACTAGCAGGTGAGCTGAGTGAGGGGAGCACAGTAGCTGAGGCTGAAGAGATGGAGGCCTGTGAGTCTGGGTGGGGGTCTGCTCCTCTTAAACAGCGCAGTAAGAGGAGAAGCATGTTGACCGTGGAGGTGGGTGGTAAAGCCGGACGTCTGGCCGGTAAACCGAGTGCTGCAGAGAACAGAGCAGCTCTATCTGACAGCAGTGACAGTGAAGGGTGTGTGTCTGACAGCAGTGACCTGTCTCACACTCAGCAGGCTGCTGCTCAGGTGTATACTGCCAATGTACTGAAGTCTTTTTTACAACAGACCAAAGGGATGAGGAAGCCAGTGTTAGAGCAGTACTTCCCTGATATGCAGGGTTTCTATAACTCAGCCAGGTATACTGTGAAACACAGAGCAGAGTCAGAGCTGACTGACCAAGAAATATTCAGACTGAAAAAACTGATTATTAAAGTCAGAAAACAACTCAGTTTTTAATGATGGTGAATGTAGGGATTTTATTCTTATTTATTTCATTGATTGTTTTTAGTCTTGTTCTTAACATCTCCATCATTATGAATGTTTTTAAAGTGGGCAGTCTGAATGTCAATGGTGCCAGAGAAATAAGAAAGAGAGCAGTAGTGTTTGAAACGGCTAAAATGAAACATATTGATGTTCTGTTTCTACAAGAAACTCACAGTGATGTTGGAAACGAGGCAGACTGGAGCAGAGAATGGGAAGGAGAACTGATTTTAAGCCATAACACCACCCTCAGTGGAGGAGTGGGCTTCCTGTTCTCCAGAGGTTTTACTCCAACCTCTCTGGAGGTCAGGCATGTTGTGGAGGGGAGGTGTCTTTTAGTCAGAGCTCGTTTTGAACATTTTAATGTGGTTTTTATCAACATTTATGCTCCAAACAACGGTGCAGAGAGGAAACACTTCTTTGAAAATATGAATGATATTTTAAACAGCTGTGGCCCGGAGGATTATTTATTTGTGGGTGGGGATTTTAATTGTACTGAAAATGAGATTTTAGATCGCAACCATGCAGAGCCTCATCCAGTATCCCAGCATGCCTTGAGGCAGCTGGTCTCCTCCCATGGCCTGGTGGACGTGTGGAGAAGGATGCACACAGGCTGCAGACAGTACACATGGTCCCACGTTAGAGAAAACAGAATCTCTTTGGCCAGACTTGATCGTTTTTATGTTTTTAAGCACAGAGTCAGTGTTGTTAAAATGTGTAAGATTTTACCAGTTGGTTTTACTGATCATTCTTTGGTTTTATGTAATGTTTTTATCAGAAACATTTTACCCAAAAGTGCCTATTGGCATTTTAACTCTGTTTTAACTGTTGATAAATCTTTCAAGGAGGCTTTAAGTTATTTTTGGAATGATTTTAAACAGAAAAAAACCGAGTTTGTCAGTCTGAGGCAGTGGTGGGACCATGGGAAGATTCAAATTAAACTTTTATGTCAGCAGCACACGCTCAATGTCACACGCGACATCACCAGATCTATCAGAGATCTGGAGACTGATATTGTGGATCTCGAGTGTACAAGTGAGTCCACAGGAAATCGAGGATATATTGAAATCCTCAAGACTAAAAAGATGGCTTTAGCCAACCTGCTGGACACTAAAGTACAGGGTGCGCTGGTCCGGTCCCGGGTTCAAAACATCACGGAGATGGATGCTCCATCGAGTTTCTTCTTTGGGCTTGAGAAGAAACAAGGGCAGAGGAGACAAATTCACTCTCTGCTCTCTGAGACAGGGAAAGAGCTGACAGAGCCAGGCCTGATAAGGAAAAGAGCTGTGGAGTTTTACGCCTCATTGTTTGAGAGTGAGTTCAAGGAGAACGAGGAACTGATGGAGGAGGTCTGTGGTGGACTTCCTCAGGTGTCTAGAGAGGCTAACCAGCAGCTCGACAGCCCACTGACTCCACAAGAGCTCTACGCGGCACTGCAGAGCATGCAGGGACGAAAGGCTCCAGGCATCGACGGCCTCACTGTAGAGTTCTACAAAGCCTTCTGGGACATCTTGGCCCATGACCTCATAGATGTTTTTAATGAGAGCCTGGTGTCTGGGTCAATGCCACTCTCATGTCGGAGAGCCGTAATTACCCTCTTGCCCAAGAAAGGTAATTTGCAAGAAATCAGAAACTGGCGTCCTGTCTCTCTCCTCTGCACTGACTACAAAATACTGTCCAAAGTCCTGGCCAATAGGCTGAAAGGAACCATGGAGCAGATTCTCCACCGGGACCAGACGTACTGTGTGCCCGGCAGGTCTATGGTAGATAATATCTACCTCATTCGGGATGTTTTGGAGGTCTCCAGTTCATTAGGCATAAACACTGGATTGATCTCATTAGATCAAGAAAAGGCTTTTGACCGCGTTGAACACGACTTCCTTTGGAAGGTCATGGAGAGGTTTGGGTTCAGCGCTGGTCTCATAGCCAAGATCAAGGTGTTGTACAGTGACATTGAGAGTGTGCTAAAGTTTAATGGTGGCTTGTGTGCTCCTTTTTAGAGTGCATAGAGGCGTCCGACAGGGCTGTGCCCTGTCTGGGATGCTCTATGCACTCTCCCTGGAACCCCTCCTACAAAAGATAAGATCATCTGTTCGAGGCCTGTTTTTACCTGGTTTTAACAGTAGTGTTGTTTTATCTGCTTATGCTGACGATGTCGTTGTTTTTATCAAAGATCAACAGGATGTGTGTGTTTTAAATTCTGTAATCGAGAAGTTTTCTGTTGTGTCGGCTGCGAGGGTGAACTGGAGGAAGAGCGAGGCTCTTGCTGTTGGTGAATGGCGGGAGGGCCTCCCTGTTCTCCCTCAAAGCCTGATATGGAGAAGAGAAGGCTTAAAGTATCTCGGTATTTATCTTGGGAACAGCGACATTGGAAAAAAAAAAACTGGGAAAACATTTTAGAAACAGTAGATAACAAACTGGCTAAGTGGAGGTGGCTTCACCCACAAATATCTTTTAGAGGGAGGGTCCTAATTTTAAACAATCTGGTGGCCTCCATGTTATGGCACCGGTTAGCTTGTCTGGACCCTCCAACAGGTCTCATTGCCCAGATCCAGGTGAAGATTGTCAATTTCTTCTGGAACAAATTGCACTGGATACCACAGTCTGTATTGTTTTTATCCAGAGATGAGGGGGGCCAGGGCCTGGTCCACCTGGCTAGCAGGACAGCCACCTTCAGGCTCCAGTTCATTCAAAAGTATCTGACTGGACCTGAAGATCTGGTGTGGAGAGACGTGGCCAGCTGCATACTCAGGCGTGTCAATAACCTGGGGCTGGATGCTGCTCTGTTTTTAACTGATTTTAAATTCTTAAAGTTAGGTGGGTTGCCTCCTTTTTATCAGGGTGTTTTTAAATCCTGGGGGCTTTTTAAATGTAAAAGAAGTGAGAAGTGTAACTCTCTGCACTGGTTATTAAAGGAGCCTATAATCTGTGGTGCAAAGATGGACGTGTGCTGCAGCACCGTGCCTGGGCTGATGGGGGTGCTGTGCAGCTCAAGAGTTGTCTGCCTCAAACAACTGATAGATGCAGCAGGACCAGAGCTCACAGATGTCCACTCTCTGGGCTCTGTGCTGGGGGTGCGTTCTGTCCGGCTGATGCAGA